TTCAAACTTTTTAATACATTATTCAAACACCCTAAATCACATGGGAGTTATTCTGTAAAATACCTTGATGATGTTCTGCTAATTGTGCGGAGCCTATGTCATTAAGTTGCGGGATTTGAGACTCCACTTATTCATGGTATATTGGGATTTGAGACACGCCCATGTCACCACCATCATCTCCTTCAGAAGCATTAGCATCCTCGGCCAGAAGACGTTCTTCCATTGCGATATTTTCATCATCATCGTCGTTGTCATCATGTATAACCCAAGTAGGATCATTTTCATCTCACTCAGAAATGTTAGCAACTGGAGAAGCATGAGCAACAGACGTTAATGCAAGACGTGAAGAATTTAAAGCAACTGACCTCACCGGTAAGGCTACATCCTCTGCTCCGACAATGTCCACATACAACTCCAAAAAATCTTTCTTTGACTGGTTGAAAATTCTTTCATTATCATCTCGACGTCTTCATCATCAACCACTTGCAAACTAATGTATTGATCAGATTGCCATAACCTTGTGGTGATCCGAGTGATACATTGATTACCTTGAAGAGTTAACTTCTGACGAATTCTCTGATGCAGTTCGTCAATGGTTGCGTTGCGCTGGATACATGTCGGCCTTTTTTCACCTTCAAACATGACACCTCGTCGGCCTTCCACCTTTTATCCATTGTGATATAACACAACATGAACAAAATCAGAATGTGAACTCATTTTAAAATGGAATAACAAATAAAATAAAAGACTAAATTTAAGCTAATAATTATGTATGTAAATGTAAGAATTGATGGTAGAGAAGAGTTGTGAAGAGTGTATAGAGTGATAAGGGTTTATATAGACTTTTTTGCATCATTCACGCCTTGGAGGGGCAGCATGTTTGCATGTGTCACGCCCAATTTGGGCAGCACATGTCACGCTCCATTTAGGCGTAATCAACATGGGTGTCACGCGTAAATGGGGCGTGACATGTAACGCCCAAATTGGGCGTCACATTGTGCAATAAATGCGTAAATATTTTCAAAACAGCCATAAATTTGTAATTTTTTTATTTAAAATGTAATAAATTAATTTTTTTGCAATGATTAATTCTTACGTAGTCCAAGAATTACAGTCTCCTTAGAAACATAACAAATGAAATAAGGTTGCTTTTGATGCTCCTCAAAATTATAATTAATTTTAGTTGTGTCATTGTGTTTAATACATACTATGTAACATCCTGGTGGCTGACGAGGGTGAAGAGTGATTGTCGGTGCAAAGAGACACAAACAAGGAGCGGCTCCTGAAAGGCTTTCAGCGGAGGGGTACATGAATGAATCGAATACACATCCAAAAGAAAGAGATTCCAAAGACTGTACATATATAGGACTCTACAGTTGGGGATAGCTTATAAGAATTAATTGATAATACCTAGACTAACAAGATGCATCTATTTTTCGGTAGCCTAGAACGGAAGAACTCCATAGTTAAGCATGCTTAACTTGAAGCAATTCTGTGATGGGTGACCTTATGAAAAAACTGTTAGTGAGGACAAAGCACGCCGAAAAGTCTCGTCTTAGTTTTCTCCCGGTGTGGTTCGAGGACGAACCAAGCGGAAACTGGTGGGCATGTAACAACCTGGTAACTGACGAGGGCAGGGAGTGATCGTTGGTGCAAAAAGGCACGGATGAATGAATCGAATATACACCCGAAAAAGAGTATCGTGTTAGTTTGTGAGGACAATCATTAATTCTTAAAGCGTCCGTGCATTACATACTAAAGGATAGAATAAACAGAGCACCTGTTGATCAAGAAAAAAAATTTGTGTTGTTATATGTTTATAAATAAAACAACATCAAATTTATTATAATATCAATTTATTATGCGTTATTTATTGATTTTGTATGTTAATTGTTAGATCATTTCAAAAAAAATAATGTTGCACACATATACTTAGGTATTAATGTTTCTTCTGTCATATGAGATAAAAAAGTAAAATTTTATACATCTACAAACGAAATCATTTAGGGATTGCATGAGATAATTTTATATCCTATGACAAAAGAAATATTTTTCCCGATATTTTATTGGGAATAGATTTCTCATATTACATGAGATAATTTATCTCATGCACTGTGGCAGACCCGAAAAATTTTATTCATGTCTGCATATTTAGGGGTAGGGGTTCGGGCACAGTGCCCTCGAATTTTTTTTAATTTTTTTTAAATGTATTAAAAAACAAAAGAAAATAAACAAAAAAAGAAGAAGAAAACTTCAAATTAACAAAAAAAATTAATAATCAATAGTCAAATAAGCTGTTATAATAGAACAATTACAAAAGTATTTTTCGATTCTTCATTTCTTGAAAATTGAGAGCGCATACCATGCATTGTCATCACTACTGGCTGGGAGTTGCTCCGAATTTTAGCCTAAATTTTTTGTTTCTCCTTATGTATCAATATGCCTTTAGAACAACGTGACTTTGAGCGTTGCTTCTCTTCTCTTATTACTTTTAGAGTAAAGTATTTTTTTGATACTCAACAAATATTAACGGGGCCCAATTTAATCCCTTAGAAAAAAATTACTCGTGGTCCATCTAAAATTCAAAATAGACCCAGGTTAGTCCTTTTGAGGGACTAACGTGGATCTTTTTTGAATTTCAGAAAGATCACAATTTTGACTAACCGGGTCTATTTTGGAATTCAGAAGGACCACGAGTTGACTTTTCTTTCGAAGAGATTAGATTAGACCCCGTAATTTTTGTTTTGGACGTAAAAGGTACTTTATTTTTTTTTTCCAAAAAATTGTGTTGCACTTGTTCAAGTGCATGTCCGCCCCTGCTCATGCACACACACATACAAAATGGGTGAGATTCACTTCTTTACTTTTTATCTCTTCTTCTTAGTGGATTTAATTCATTTTTTGTGTGTGCATATGACAAAATTATCTCATGTAACATAAGAGATATTATCTATATTTTATATACTTATCACTTTATATTTATAAATTTCCAATCATTCGATTACAACTGATTTCACTAAAACTGTGGCATACCGCATACCTGCCCCTTTGAGGCCGTGATATTGACATCTAACTTGTGTGAGTGAATATGAGGTGAACATATGTATAACAAGCATTATTACACAAATCACTTTTCTTTTTTTATGTATGCATAATTGCCATCATCTTATTCTGGCTTAACTTTGGTTTACTTTGTGAAAATGTCATCTGTTTACTATCACACTATACTTATTGTTAAATAAATTTAGTTATAGTTCAATGTGTTAAAGTTAAATATTTCTTAATGATGTAAAAATGCTGTTAAATTTTTTTAATATTAATAGTAGTATTAACAAAATTTGAATTAAATGAAATAATTAAACTTTATATTGCTGTAATGACATTTTATTATTGCAACCTTCAAGTTTACGTAAAATCTGTCCCAATCTCGACGTTAATCATGAACCAATATACCAATAACCAGTAACCAGGTGGTGTTTGTTTGAGCATTTGATGTATTAGCAGTGATGCGTTGCACATTGCATGTCAACTATAGAAGGAACAATAACCATTTTGCCATATTTTTTAAAAAAATTTATCTAACTGTCACGCGAATAATAAAATTTTCCAAAATATCATATGTATAAGTTCACTATAGCATGTAGCGAACTTCGTTTGCTGACATAACAACTTAGTTCGCTACTGGTATTAACGAATTAGGTGGTCTGAACCAAAGTAGAATACGTGCCAGCCTTTTCCAAATTCGTTGTACCCTCTAACGAACTACGAGAAAGAATGCCAAATGTGTTTGGTATTTAACGTGAAATAAAAAATATAATATAAAGATATGAAAGTACCAAAAGCGTTTGCCATAAAGTAATTGAAGATGATGTTAAATAGCAAAAGCAATTTAATGATAAAAAGCAGAAACACGTGCACTCTGTCTGTCATTTTCTCTCACAGCTCGTTAGAAGGTACATCAAACTTTGGAGAGGCTGACATGTGTACTATTTTTGTTTATAAGAGACTGACATTTTTTATCATCTTGTTCATTAGTACTAGTAGCGAATTAAGTGGCCGCAAAAAACGTAACACATCAAGAAACCAAATTTGCTATTTGATATACCAACTTGTATGTGTGGCATTTTGAAAAACTTTATTATTCGTGTGGAAGTTGAGTAAGTTTTTTTTAAAAAAGTGGCAAATGGATCACTGTTGCACTATAGAAACCACGTGTCTGATTAATGTGGCCACCGGCCAGCACACAAAATGCGACTTCGACGCAAAAGATAACAATAAAGACAACTGAAATTGTTCATCTAGAATGCCTCCGCCTCCTCATTCATTTGGAGACTCCGAAGTGTTGGTTTTTCAAAGACTTGGGATGTGTGTGCGTGTTTCATAACAGTTTACTTTAAAAGTATTATTAATTTTCTTTTATTTTTCTCAGAATTTTGTTAAAAAAAAAACACTTTTTTAATTATAAAAATAAATCAATCCAAATACATGCATCATCCTCAACAGTACACACTGTATTTTGTGAGACACACAAAGTAGTGAAAGACATGTTTTGTCTATCAAGAATTTTATTGCAACTTGCATTTTAGATTTTATGTATAGCAATTGCTTAAAGGACTAGTAATGATAATGGTAAATTATTTTAAAAAATTCAATAATATAGATAATTTTTGTTTCACTAAAAAGTAAACAGTATCACATCAGGATTGCTTATTAAAAATGAGGAGAGAAAAAATGAGATTGATACAGTTGATTAGTATAACATGAATGTGAAGACATAGTTATTCACGTATTGGAATCACTTTTTAGGTGAATTTGATAATAATACCCAGAAAAATTTGGAGAAAAAGAAAGAAAAGAATTTCACATTAATTTTGCAAAGTTTTTTTCATACAAAATTTTTACATTGATGGTTTTTCTTTCACATTAATTTTGCAAAGTTTTTTTCATACAAAATTTTTACATTGATCATCCGTGTAGTGAAATTAGATAGTTTTCTTCCATTACGCTTGTTTCCATTCCCACAACTACAATCCAAATAGAGAAAGAAAAACCAAGAGAAATAACCATTTGCATAGAAATTGAGAAGCATGAATATATTGATATGCCATAGGGCAGCATGAAAATTAATGGACCATTTACCAACTTGCTTCAATGACCATAGTATTTTGCAATTTAAGGAATGGCTATGACTTTATGTCTCGTAGAAACGAAGTTCTGCCATAAACTCTTGGCGCTTGGGGCAATACCAAGCAACTGCTTTTGCAGAACCAAGTACTTGCAACGCATATTCAACAGCAAATACAGGTTCCTGTGGATGTATATGCCAGTGAGAGTTATTCAGATCAACTGTTATTCCCGAATCAACTCGAAAACTGACAGGACCAACAATCTGCAAAGATATACATAAAATATGTCTTGGTTAACATAATAGCAGCATTAAGAACCAAATGTTTGAACAATTTGCAGTGCAAGATGAGAATCATGAGATCAAAAGAGCAAGCATAGAATAAGGTGGAGTGCGAGAGACCGGATAATGGAATTTGGGTTAAGATATTTGATTTTATAAATAATCATTACATTTCACTAGGAAACCACCACCATATAAATAAGAACAAGTTTCCTCAGCAACTTATTTACAAAGCAAAAGTTTTCTTTTCAAGATGAAGTTTATTAGTCAGGCAAAACTTTTAAAACCCTGATGTGAGTTTGTGAAAGAAATGGAGGTACCTGCTGCTGAAGAGATAAGGTAGTATTGGGGAAAATAGCTTGAACAGCTTCCATGCTAGGCTTTTGAGAATTGAGAAGATCTTGAGCTATATCTGTTGCACGTAAAAGAAATTTGGAACCAGAAGGAAAATCCAGCCGGGCCTGAAATCGTGTAAGATCTAGAAAAAGCCTTTGGAAGTTTCCATGTTGGGCTGTAAACGAAATGGACGCAAATATGTCTGCTAGAAAGGAAGACTTCAATCCAAAAGGCTGGAGAAAAAATCCAGCAGAACCTTGTCTATCATCGTCTACTTGTGCTCTTGCCGAATTATCCCCAAAAGCGGTGGTTGCAGCCGCGCCTTACCATAAAAGAATTCAAGGAAACAATAAACACCTTCTACAACCATAACTTTAAGTAAGATGGAAATGCTCAAGTGGCAAAACAAACTCATGATCATGTAACTGATACAATTTGCCAATGTATTTTATTAGTTATTACTCTAGTCCAGTCCACCATCTGCTACTAAGCCTCCTATTATACCCTTTTTGCACCCACTACCTCAAGTCATACATCCAAAAGCCTCCCAAATCCTTTCCATATGATGAGAGAAAAACAAGCATTTGAAATGTTAAGAAAATGTCTGACAGTTTCCTCACTTCTTCACTAAGCAAAAGAGTACCTATCTAATGATCACAGCCAAGTATCCTTTTTTTTCTCTGGATTATAGAATGTGTTTGCAAAAAATGTTGCAAACAACAAGACAACTTACCAATAATCCCAGAGGCAGACACATGAGAATTTGAAAGAAACAAGTCATACGGCTGCACTAATTTCAACTTACGAGCTTCACTTCTCCAAATATTGATGTTCTTCCTGCACGAAAAAGCACTTTTGAAGGCCAAACCTGGAAGTAGAGTATGGGGTACTCCACCACTTCGATTTTGAATATTTTCAAACTGCTCTGGTGACCCTGAGTTGTAGCGTGCAGACAAATGATAAGCAGTGGAAGAGTCATTGGTAGCCACAGAAGCAAGATCAATTGCCATTGAAAATGGTACATCCCAGTAATTACCAGTCTTATCAACAAAAAGACCAGGATAAACTGCCTCCACCGTTAGATCATGCTGTGGCAACTACAATCACACGCCAATAATATTTTGCATTAGCAAAAAAGGGCCCAAAATCTAGTTCAATTCATGTCAAAAGGTGACCACAGAACAAAAAAATTATGTAGTTAATGAGATTTGGACTAACAATAAACTCAGAATTGCAAAATTCATCTTTGGGATGCAAACATTATCCCCAAATATGGAAATTCGCAATAAGCACACCCTTAGTGTCTTCAACAGTACATGAAAAGTACATAATAGTAAAAATCGAATGCCCACTTAACAGGTGAAGTCCTCATCCAACATCATTGCCATAGAATTCTTGAACAGTATACTTATAGTAAATACTAAAATCATCAAGAATGACAGCATCACAAGACGCTTAGAAAAATTCATACCTTGTGATGAAGGACAGCTTTCCCACGAGGCTTATCGGTATAGTCATATCCATCTAAGCCAAAAAGTAAAGTATCATCCGGTGTTAACTGGAACTCTGAACAGAAGCCAAGGGCATACAAGGATTTCTGCTGTAGGTGTCTCCCAAAGGTTTTTAACCAAGAGGAAAGCCGAGCTGGTTTTTCCTCACTGCTCTTAACAGATGAAATAAATCTCTGCAAATTGAACTGACCCAGTAAAAATACAAACCTGCAAAACTCTCACACTTGAATATCAGCCAATATAAACTCCATGAGAATTGACAGTCACAGTTCAATATAAGATGAAGAATCAATTAACATCACTGATTAAATCAATGCAAACAATTATTTAACTTAGTTAATCATTTTCATCTAGTCCTATCATTCATAAATTCACCCTAAAAAATGAAATCATGATTTATCCACAAATTGCACAATAGTAAAAGAGTTTAACTTAAAAGTAACCTAACCCATAAACCATATCCAATCCAGATGGTTAAGTGTCAGAACAGCAACACTATCATCTAGTCTAAAATGAATAAATAAAAGACATGACAACCCCATAAACGAATAAGAGGCAAATGCAAGTAAAAATTGAAACTTTAAGATTGGGATAATGAGAAAGGTGATGAATTTACCAGTTATCAGAAAAGGGGATGGTGAGAACACGGTGGAGAGAGAAGCCATGAGGTTTGGCATAGAAGGGAATGAGAGGGGCATACATGAAAAGGTGCATGAAATGGAGTTGTCTGGGTCTAGAAAGTCTGGTACCTCGTGATAAACCCAAAGGAAGAGGGTCACCAGGCACAGGACATGCCAACCCATCAAGCGTTTTTGGAGTTGAAACATCCAAATCCCAAAACCCTCCTCCATCCATTACCCATCTTAATTTCCTCATCACAAACAAACAAAACAAAACAAAACCACTCCCCAATGCAATGCAATGCAATGGATTAATGGAATATGCTGCTTCTTCTTCACTCAGTCACAACTCACAAGGCAGCTACCGAATTGCTTTTGACTTTATTGTTAGGGGATTAATGTTTGTGACGTTGTACACGACATATAAATTATTTTTTATGGGTTCAAATTAAGATTATATTATTTTGAAATAAAAATTAAGGTATTTTTATAATTATAATTTATTTTAGGGTTATAATAATTTTTCTTATTATAATTTTTTAATTTTTCAATCAAAAATGACATTATTTTAAAAATAAATGTAGATAACTTATCCATATTTACTGTAGAAATATTAAAGCCATCTTTTATATATATAAAAGTGTGGTGTGTATTTTTTCTTTCTATTTTTTCTTTTCTCTTCGTACGATTCCATATATTTTTATGGGTTTGTGTTTTCTAAAGTTACTTTAGATAACTTTATCTAATGTTCACCGAAACGACGTCGTTTTGGGGCGGAAATCATGGTGTTTTTGTAATTTTAGGTTATTTCAGGGTTATAATAGTCTTTATCATTCTAATTTTTAAATTTTTTAACCCTAAAACGACGTCGTTTTGATGAACATTAGATAAAGTTATCTAAACTAACATTAGATAATTTTTCCCCTATTTTTATATGTATAAAAGATAAAATTATCTCATACAATATGAAAAACAATAAATTCTACTCTTTTTCATATTTATTTTACCTACTCATATCTAATATTTTTTGAATTAGAATCTCAAGAGAAAAAAGAATGAGTAAAAGATAATTGAGATTCTAATCTAACAATTGAAAATGAGTAAGTAAAATAGACGTAGGTAGAATATCCTATCATTTTTACTAAATAACATAAAAAATTAATAAAATAAATATATAATATAATCAAATAATTAGTGTGTAATAACTTTCGTAATTTTTGTGTAAAATTGTTAAACCATCAATTATTTTAAATAAGAGAAATATAAATGAGACTAGAAAAACAAAATTTGGAAGATAGTTGCACTCATTGTACCACACGAGTCTTGTATGGCTATTGAGATGCAAAACCACTTATGCTATAACTGTGAAGAAAAAACCTACCAGTTATTTTTACGAAATTCACTAAAATGAATGGTCATAAATTGTTTTGCGATAGTTGTCTGTATATAATTCGTAGAAAATTTTGGAAACTCGAAAATAATGGTTGAGTCTTAAAAATTCTTGTTTAGAACCTAGAATTCAAAGGTAATTCAGGAATTCCATTTTAGCTTTGCCACATTGCAAATGTTTTTTTATCTTTTGAGTCTCCTCAGTCTGTTCATCTTTAGGACCAATCTGATTTTAGCACTTTCGGACTCTAAATGAGGACGGCTTTCCTAAGATCATTTTTTTCATTTATGAGACTCGAATTCGAAACATCTAATTTTTTATTTTTTTTTGTAAATAGAAACATCTAATTAAGGGACACAAACTTTATATTACTTTTGTCAATGATATTTGATCATTGCAAATGATTTTGCGTTATTAAATAGAAATTAAAATTCACAAGATCTGATTAAACATTTAAATTACTTTGTTTCAAAGAATAGAATATTCATAAAGGTGTTGTGTCATATTGTCATATTGATAAAAAATTAAATGCATGTAACACCTAATTTTACACGCGTATATCATACTTTCTAATTTTATATATACTACCTTGCATTTGATTTAACTGAAAAAGATGATTTTTTTTTTAACTAAACTATAAGGGATTAAGTGAATAAAAAAATTTACGACGCTAAAATATTACCTTATATTTTATTTTCTTTTATAATGAAGTGATTTCAATTTTCAACTTTTTTCCCTAAAATATCGATAATTAATTTAGGACGCTAGAATTCTTTTGGTGAATGTTAGGCAACTTTTTTAATTGAAAAACGTCAGTGCATATTTATCGAATTTTTACAGTGACTACCGATTATGCAATTTTCTCAAAATTTGTTATTTTGAAAGCCAGTAACACAAGACCCATTTTTGTTGAAACAAAAGAAATATACATATTAAGCACTTTCATAAGTTTGTTCCGGGAGAAAATCATGCTCTTCATTAGAACAAAAATAAAATAAAATAGGGCTAGTAATAACGTAAGTGTGTTTTTAAGTGCCAGAAGTCGAATTTTGTTTTAATTTAAATTATAAGATCAATTTGGGGCATTCTAAAGTTTTCACTATCCTTTTTTGTTTTAAACTTTGAAGTAAATTAAAATCGCAAGCTTACATGCCTAGATTTTTGAGTCATGATTTACACAAAAAGCTTTTTCACACCCTCCTCCACATCTCATGCAATTCCAATGAAATTTTAGCTGTTTATCTACCCACTTTTATCAACAAAGCAAAATATCGATTAACCAAGCCATGACCCACTTTTATCTACCCTAAACCCAATATATTCCCAACGATGCCAGTAATTCCAAAACGTTTTCCTTCATTATATCCTTTATAGCTACCATAAAAAAAACTCATGTAATGTGGAATAGTTGATTGGTCAATAGTAAAACACACAGCAATTGCGACCAACTAACTATAAATTGAATGAGTCACAATCGAGGAGTCTACGTGAATACCAACTCACTACATATAAGGATTGCGCTTGTAAGTTGTAACATCATATGTCAATGAGAACATTTCCAAGAGATGAACACAATTTTACTCAACCCAAGGATTAATCTCAACCTTAGAATTCTCCTTCCTAGCTCCATTACCTGTGATCAACTAACCGTATTAAGTAAAGACACATGAATAATATTTTCATATTATATCTCAATGAGATGTTAAATGAAATTAAACCATAAAGACAACCAATATTGACTCACCAATTCGACTTCAATCTCCTTCACCTTCAAGCCATCTGTAACAGAAGAATTTTTCACTCACCCCATCCTTGCTAGTCGGGATTTAACGGGGAGTATTTTTTTTTTTTTTTTTTTTGTAACTCCAAAACCTATATTGCACCGACATTAATACAGGACACGGAATATGACATGACACGATACTCCGACACGTTAATTCTAAAAAATATTAAATTTCAACACATTAGGACAAATTTTGATATTAAATAATCTTTTTAATTTATGTAGTATATATTATATTTAATATTCAATAATTTAACAAAAAAATGAAGCTAAACTTATAATACTCATCAATTTTGCAAAGAAACATAAGATATCTCAAATATTTATATTAAACTCAATAAAATGATAATCGTAATCTAACGAATCTAATAGTTGGAACTAAAAACGCAACGCAACCTTCGAACCCTTTTGAGTCTCTACAACGCGTGTTTGGAGTGTCGGACACGACACGTTAGGTTTTTTGAAATGTGGGTGCATCATAGTCCAAAACCAAATGTCCTTTTCATGCCATCCCTGTCAGCCAGTCCAAATCTACCAGTTCCTTCAATTCTTAATCCTGTAGTTATTTTGGAAATGGCCGCAACCCTTATTATGACTCATTGATTGGTCCCTTAAGTTCTGACTTCATCAAGAAAATACTCATAAAACTGCTTCTGACAAAGTTACAGTGCCTAGAATCAAGAAAAACACTACCATTACATACAACATATTACATCCCCGCAAGACAGAAGTTTCTATATAACTTACCAAAGGCTAAATTCAAGGCTTAAATACACAAAGTATGATAATTAGCAATATTTGGTGTCCTTCATAAAGCAGGCATACCTTGGAGGTCATTGTTGGTCCCAATGTACATTGGCTGGATATTGGGGGTTCAGCAGATTGAGCTTGTTCTGCCCATAGATCTGCAGGCAGTGCATAATACCATGATCAAGTCAGAAGCCTCATTTGAGAATAGTTCAATCAGTAGGTCCAGAACAACCATTATTTTGAGAAGATGACGAGACGTCCAAGCCATTATTATTATTATTATTATGTTCGACATCCATACCACCTATATTAACAATGATACTCATAAATTAATGATCCATGACAATGACCTGATTAGACACTTCTAAATTGGAACCCACCAGCTCAAGACTGCCGGTATGACAATCATCAATAGAAGATCTATTATAGAATGGATCCTTGCAGAAACGAGAAATCCTCTTCACAATGTAGACCAGCAGAATAATCTATAGATGAATTGAAGAGTTACTGAACTTAGATGCTTGCTTGTTTGCTGTTTTCTTCAATTTTCTTCTGCTTTCAAGATCATATAGCATGCAAATCATGCCACATTATTCAGTTCAGAGGGGGAGGGGGGGAAATGAAGCTGAGCAATGCTAAAAGCTTTCTTATACCGTGAAACAATATGTCTAAGAGAAGAGGGTTTTGATCATGTGACGTCCAACCTGAAGCAGAGTAGATAAGAAAATAGTTAATTAGTTGGAATGAAAAAATATTAGTACTACTAAAAAAATAAGAATCAGAGGTGGAAGATACTGTACAAGAAACCAAAAGAATGAGACCAGAGGAATGTAATGCAAACCATATCAGCAATATCATCACATCGGGCTGAGTAACAAAACTGCCATCTCAGCCTCATCTGCTAACTCACATTCTGGACAACATAAAAGTATACTGTGATCAACCAAATTTTCTTCTCATTTTATATCTTGACCGATTTAATTTTTTCCTGGCAATCATCAATAACTCGTTCAATTTTTCAGTGCCTCCACACAAATCTAAAGAAACTAATTCCCTGGCCTGTAAATCCCTCAAAAGCTTTTCACTTTCAATATGATAATTTCCAGAACAGAAAGAATCAATAAGAACTGTGTATATAGAGGTATTAGGCCAAAGATCTCTTTGTTTCATCTCTTCATAAAGTTTAAAAGCAGCTTCGATATCACCATTAACACAAAGGCCAGATATAAGAACATTGTATGCAGCAACATCAAGCTTCACATGACAGCGTTCCATTATACTCCTCAATTCTAAAGCCTTTGCAACATTAGCTTCTTTGCAATAGATGTGCATTAGAGTAGTGAAAGTAGCAACAGTTGGAATGATTTGCATCTCAAGCATTAAATCAAGAACTGAAATAGCATTTTCAGTCTTCCTTGAACGTGCAAGCCCTCTAATAATAGCACTCATAGCAACATCATGGGAGCTGACACCAAGTGTTTTCATCTCATCTTGCAGCTTCATTGCTCCTTTTATGTTTCCCGCTCTAATCATGCCATTGATTAAAGTGATATATTGTTTACATGTAGGAACAGAACCACTTTCCAACAAGGCTTGCAAAACACAATGGGCTTCATCAAAAGCACAAGTTCTAATGAGTCCATTAAAAAGGGCATTGTATGTATCTACATTAGGAATAACTCCTGTCAGATTCATTAGTTTTACCAGATCAAAGGCCATTTTTATCTCATTCCGTTCACAGAACTTGGTAATAAGCATGTTAAATGTAAAACAATCAGCTACAAAACCTTCAAGTGTTATCCTTCTTAAAAATTTAACAGCTACATCCAATGATCCGGACTTACAATATCCAAGAATAAGGGAGTGCCACGTTAACCTATCTGGCACAAAATCATGTTTGATCATGTCATTGTACAACATAGAACATCTTGCCGTCGCATGCCTCTTTGAATATCCATGCAGGAGAATATTGTAAGTGGCCAAATTGAAGCATAAACTTCTACTCCTCATTGTTGAAAGGATATCATTTACCTCCGACATTTTCCCCTTCCTTGAGCATCGATCCATAAGCACATTGAATGCAATAGTATCAGGGCTAACACCTTTGTTCAGCATATCTTCAAAAATATACAAAGCGGCTCTTGAATGTCCTCCCTTAAGAAGACCATCAACTAAACTAGTGAATACAGCAGGATTTGGAGATAACAATCCTTTTTCAATTGCCTTCCCTGACAACAGGAGTGCAACAACCATTTTACCCTTCTTGCATAGCCCGGCAATAAGACTAGTGAATGTATAACTGTCAGGCACAAAATTATTTGTAACCATCTCATTAATAAGGGCAACTGCATCTGATAAATTTCCTGATCTACATGTCCAAGTAAGTATTGTGTTGTACAAAACATTATCCATGGCATAAGGAATGCAACGAAGTCTATGCAAAAATTTTTTGGCTTCATTAATATGTCCACCAATGCAAAGTCCTTTCAATAGACCCCCATACGTGAACTGACTTGGGAATAGGCCTAAACTATTCATTTTATCAAACATTGAAAATGCTTTTAATGCATTGCCGGAATTTCCATAACTATTTATAATGCAATCAAAGGTAACGGAGCTAGGATCAAGACCCATCCTGCTCATGTGATCCATAAAATACTCAGCCTCTTCAAGTCTCCCACATCTACAAAAAGTGGCAACCAACACATTACATGTAAAGTGATCTGCAACATGACCACCGTGGTTCATAACTGCATAAGCATTTAATGCTTCTTTTAGTTTTCCCATCTTGCAATAGTTGTAGATTAATGTTGAATACAAAATGCTGTTTGGCAAAAATCCAGTCTTATACATTTTACACATTATCTCCTTTGCATTATTTATCTTCCCCACCCTGAAAAAACCATTTATGAGCACTGAAAATGTAATAACATCAGGATTGACAGAAACTTTTAACATATCATCTAGCAACTGCACAGCTTCTTCAAGCAGGCCATTCTTACACAATCCATCAATCATTGCTGTATAACTGATATGACCAACTCTCACCCCATGCATCCTCATTCTCTCAAGAATACTGGAAACCAATCCAAATTCACCATGCTTGGATAGCCCATTTAAAAGAGCCCCATATGTTACTTCGTTAGGTCTCAAACCATGTGATATCATCATATCCAAAAGTCTGAATGCTTCCTCAATATTGCCCTTGCTGCAATACCCAACAATCAAAGTATTGTAAGTGATACTATTAGGTAACAAATTAAATGACGACATCTCATCAAAAACTTGTGTAGCAACTCCAATCTTCCCCTCCTTAACAAATCCATTAATAAGCGTATTATACGTTATCTCATTAGGACGCACCATATTCTTTCTCATCCTTTTCAACATTAAATAACCTTTTGCACTCCTGCTTTCCCTACACAAATTATCTATCAACACATTATATGTACAAACATCTGCCGCAATACCCTTAGATGCCATGCAGTCAATCAGCTCAGATGCTGCTTTGTACCTTCCTTTCTTGCAATACCAATTAAGCAAAGTATTGTAAGTAACTGCAGTTGGACAACGACCGCTTTCTTCCATTTTCCTCAAGAGAAAACCAGCACTTTTAAACTTCCCTCGTTCGCATAAAGCATTTAACAATATATTGAATGTAGCAACATTAGGACAAACCTTCTTGGCAAGCATTCCTTTGAAAAAGGACCAAAACAACTCAACTTTCTGATCCTTTACCAGGGAACCAAGCACCATGTTACAAGTGTAAACAGACGGCTTCAATCCCCGAAAACCCATCAAGTAGAAAGTCTGCACAGCATCTCCAACCATCTTTTCCCGTAAACAAACTCTAATAAGGAGGTCAAAAACAGCAGGGTTTGAGTTGCAAATGGGGTATGTCTCCATCAGAGCACCAAATACAGAATTCAAACCAATAGGCATTTGTAACAAATGTCTCAAGGTTGTTTTGGCAAAGTTGTACATTCTAGCTCTAACAAGAATGTGGGTAGTAGTGCATATAATATGGGTAACATGATTGAGTTCCAAATTGGGTTGCTTTATGACCCATTTGAGAAATTTCAGAGCCAACCTTCCATGGACAGGCCTGAGTGAAGATAACTTATATTTCATGCAGTTCAGTGAATCCCAGCGGTGTACAGTGAGAAAAGTATATATACTCTTTTCCATATGTAAAACCATCAATTGATTCCAAAGGTACAAACTTTATACTGAAAATGAAAAAACAAAACGGGGAAAAAAAGTGGGGTTTAGAGAGGGACAAAGTTACAAGTAAGAGCAACAAGGTAAAAGGAATAAAGGGTTACCTTGATTGAAAATAGAGCGAACAATTGAAGGAAGTTGTTATCTTCTTCAATCTTCATCCACGAGGACTGTGAATAACTGAAAGAAGATTCGTTTGTGTGAGAAAAGAGCCATGTGCTGAAGATTTTGAGTTCGCACTCAACTTCATATTTAGGAAAATTATTTTTTTGGGTTTGGCGTTTTTTCGTTTTAAATGACATAGAGTATTTTTTTTTTAAGCTAAAAATTATTTTTAAGCTAAAATTATAAAAAAAGAGTTTAAAATTAATTAAAAACTATTGAATGATTATATATAAATTTTACCTTAAAAATAATATAAAAACATATAGAAAAGCCTATCTCTCTCTTGTTTTTTGTTTAAAAAAAAATACACATAATTTAAGAAAAATTAATAAGAACTTAAAAAAAAAGTTCTTCTTAATAATTTTTGACTTTTGCCTTTTTTATTCATATAAAAAAAAGAACTTTCCATTATAAAAAAATTTCTCAAAATTTATTTAGCCTAATTTATGCTTATAAAAAAAAGAGAAGATAAAAATAAGAGGTTTCAAACAAGCACAAAATACACAACTAAAATTATGGTGAGAGAAAGTGAATTTTTTAATTTAAATTTTAAATAAAAAACATTACTTTTAATTTAAATAACGGATCTTTGAAATGACAAATATTTTTCTCTTATTTTTTTACTGTTATTTAATTTAATTTAATTTACTTTTGGACAGGAAGGAATTAAAAGCCGAAGAAAAATTCTAAAACTTTGAAAGACATCCCTTTTTTTCTTTGTTGGTGGGTAATACATAATCCTTCCCGGAAATTTTCAAAAAGATTGGGAGTCTTCGCTGACCCTAGTGGGATACTAATGGTTATCCCCACTTAAATTTCTTAGCTACTAAAAAAAATTAAAATTCTTTAAAAGTGAGTGTAAGAAATTATTTATTTTAAATTAAATATTTATTTGATTACTTACATTTCTTTAGACACGTTTTCAAATTTGCAAAACCAGAATTGATTTAGTATTTTTCACAATTTAATTTCTCTCTATCTTAATTTTAATTCTGAAATAAAAAGTTCTTCTTTTTTTTTTGCTAAACATTCAAAGTCTCAAACAAGCGTAAGTTGTACTTCTCTCGCATTTTATTTTATTTTTCTGAAAATCCTTTATTTCTCTTCAATTTCTTTTAATTTTCGTTGCTTTATTTTTGTTTAAAATTTTCTAAATGTCCGAAATGTCATTTTTTTAGTAAAAACTCTTAAGGAGGAAAATTGATTATCCTAATATAGAATTGGGACACGCTCTGACTCAATAAACACTTAAGAGGCGTTTGTTTTAAGATATATGATTATGTATTATTCTATAAATTTAAAAATATATTTAATTAATATTTTATATTTCATAAATATTTTTAAAATCTGTTTAACTCAAAAAAAAAATTCATGGGAGAAATAATGTGAAAGAAAGAAGTGAAAATGGAAGTTAATAATTAAGTAACAAGATAATTCCTATTGCTATGTTATACGAAAGTAACATACTCGTCTTTCATCATATGAATAAAAATCAAGTAAATTATAAAAATGTTATTTCCTTAAAAATAACACTTTCCAGAAATATATATAAACTTGTACTAAACATTGAATTGTCATATTCTTATCTTTATTTTTTTCTGAAATAACTTGCAATCTTCAAAATGAACGCATCCTCAAAGGGAACTTACAGATAATCCTCTAACAATTGAAATGTAATTGTTCTGATGCAACAGGTGATGTGGTCTTTTTAGTGGCTATTGGATTTTGAAACAAAATTTAAGCTGGAGCTGGAATTTCAAGCAAGACTTAGCTGGTGATGATCAAAATGTTTCCTTTGAAAGGCTTAGTTCAGTTTCTGCTGAAGTACTAACATATCTAATTATCATTGCTTTAAAAGTAAATACATTTTTTGGTCCTCAGCAAATTTCACGATGCACGCTTTAGTTCCTAGCAAATAAAAAGACCCATCGTGGTCCCTAAGAAATTCAAAATGAACCCATTTTAGTTCTTTTAGGAACTAATATGGATCATTTTTGAATTTGTGAAGGATCACGATTTCAACTAAATAGGTCCATTTTGAATTTCTTAAGGACCACGATGGGCCTTTTTATTTGCTAGGGACTAAAACGGACATTGTGAAATTTGCTGAGGACCAAAAAGGGTATTTACTCTTACTTTAACTCTAAGAGGTGGCATCCTAGCTTCTTGGCAATTTGTTTTCTTCATTGACAATGTTTTATTGGAGACACATTACTGAGTTAGAAAATTTAAGCCCCTTGGTATTTTGGTCCTCTTCCTTGCAAAGTGATCCATGCATGAATTATCCCATAGTTTGTAAGGAACTTCACATAAGATCATTTATACAGGAACTTCAGCGACCAGAAAATTATCCCATAGTTTACAACCTTAAATAGACAAAAAGCGAGAGGGTTAAAGGGGTCACAAGTGTGTACACAAAAGAGAACAATTGAACATAGATTACAGAATGGGGGTGATGATGAGATAAAACTTAAAAGACTGAACTCAGCAAGGGTTCTTGCACATATGTTCGCTTTTTTGTGATCTACAAGTTGAAAACAACATTTTGCCCACAAATTCCCCCTATGGTACATCAGAAGTCTAATATTTTCAAGTCGTTGCCCACATAAATAGATCAAACAATCACATCATAGTTACACCCTTTTGACAGTCTACACTATAATGTTAATCATCACTGTCGCTGATAGAAAATATTGAACCATTAGTTTGAGATTTGTCCTCTAGTAGATTTCTATCTTTAAATCTACAGAAAGAAAGTGTGGGAGAGTACTTAGTAGTAGAAACCCCAAGACTATGTGAAGCTACAAGAAGACGTTTCCCAACTCTGGATCTTCTATTTTTGTCCCTTGAATTTTTGGAAACCAAGTCAACATGCAAGACATGTGGAGGTGTTTTGGGAGTGAACTGTGGCAAGGAATCAATTTGTCTCTTTGAGAAACTGTGTGCTCTGGTGTTGGACTTGGACTGAACTTCAATCTCACCACAAACAGCTCTAGATGTAACATCCGAGTTTGAAGAGCTGCTAAAATTGTCAATCCCATTGAAACCTGAAAAATATTTATTGATTATACCTGTGACTGATATCACTTGTGTTGACATCTTACTGAGACTTCCTTGCATTGAGTTAGCATGCAACTCAACACGATTTTCAACTTTATTCTCTGGCATCATATGTTGACTCTTATTCGTCGTATCAGTATGTTTGTCTCCAAATCTGCAGGAACACCTTTTTGGCATTCCACTGGCTGCATTCTTCATGTAATTTTCATGAGAATTTCCCTTTCCCTTCTGCTTCTTTAAAACATGATTAGTAGTTTCATGCTCTTCCAATAAATATGCATGGGGTTGGAATCCTTCCGTTCTCTTTTCCTCCTTGTTGCATCTTGCCTTATCCTCACTATTGCATGTCATTAGGTCCCGATGTTTCAAAGTAATAGCTGCATCGCGGGGTAAACATGGAATAAACAAGCACTTTGAATCCGTCACTTCCACATGAAGAAACCATGTTCCTCTCATCCCAGGGAAGGCATACTTTACAGGCACGGAATCAGGCAGGTAGTAAAAGCATGATTTTTGCTTCACCTAGTAGAATATGCAGTAATTTCTTGAGCTCAAACTCAATTGTCACAGAAATTCATAAAAGATACATAGATACTAAAACAGAAAGTACATACCATTAATCCATCAACTTGAATCTCTCCTATATCTGGTAAACATGTGAAGTGAACTTTCTCTAAGTCTCCTGCAGAACAATCATCACACCAATTTCAAGTCAGAACCCAGAACCTAATATACTCAAGGTTGAACTGCAATTTCATCAATGGCCTGTTCTTTTCATATGAAAAGTTTGATGTCAATACTCAAACCTAACCTGAATTGGAATTTGGAAGCTAAGCATTTATAGGAAAGACTCAAAGAACACTAGATTCTGAATATGCCATGTGAAACCCCACCTTTGTGATAAAAGGAAAGAACATGCCACAAGAAACTACCCAAAATTGAAAGGTGAAGCCCTAGTGTTTGAAAAGACTTCATCTCTCTCATCAAATGTTATAGGCAGACATAATGTTACAGAATCCACGATAGATGCACATAAATGCATGAATGAGTGCAAAAGATTTTCATTCCCAATATAAACAGGTAGAAGAAATAGAGAATTGGTTTCAAGAGACCATAACTTATGAGACAGACTCATCCTCAAAGTCAAAACTCTAAACAATTGAAGTGAAACAAAGTGAGACATCATTCTAGCAATAAAATGCCATACACATGCAAACACATGGAAGCAGAGGCAGAGGTTAACCAAGATTTTCAAAAATGTAAAGGAGAAAAAGGACAACTTTTTTTTTCTTCTTCTTACTTTTGAGTGCTCCAGCTGTAATGTCGTGGGGGGCATTGAAAGCAATGCGAGTGCCCAAGTTTGTGTCCGCAAAGACTGCAACTTCACCACCCATTCAGCTTTACGTTGTGCTCTTCGGAGTTCCTAAGATTAAGAAGAGAACATCCTCAACGTCTCCAAAGAGGAACTAGGAAACTTGGGTGGGCCAGAATGTGCAGGGCTTTTCAATCGGGCTGAAGCCCATTCACAAACACCATTTCAAGAAGGAAATATAAGATATTTAAAAAAAAAAAAAAAAAAAAAAAAGTGCGGGAATCATTTTTCTATGGCGATATAGCTGGATTACCTGACATGTGTATTATACACAAATTAAAAAATAACTTGTTGAAAAGTCGTGACATTAAATTAAATTACAACATAATTAACTCATAAGTCAGCATATATTATTCAAATGAAATCTTGTATTAGTCTTAGACCTGTTTGGTGTGACGTATAAGGCATGATAGTATAAGCTTATATTATACGTTATGACATTTTCAGTTGTTTGGTGTGACCATCGTATAGTATAAGCTTATACAGCATAATCCCTTAATACATCAAAACGATGTATAACTTAATTCGGCCTAAGAGTGAGAGATAAGGCCTAATAAGAGATTGATGTATTAACATCGTTGACCAATGTAATTCTCAAAAATTAATATATTATTTAATATTAATCTATTAAAATAAAAATTAATTTTTCAATATATTAATTTTTAAAATATTGAATATTTTTATTTTTATAAAAATTAATTTATATTTTGGACACACTGATCAATAAATTTTTATAAAAATTAATATCATATGACATGTTTTGAAGAATTATATAAATTCTTTATTAAAGGATATTTTTATTAAAAATATTTATTTTTATCATATACAGTATTATACAGTGCATTACCAAATACTAAATGATATTATCTTATACAATATATTATTTTATACGATACCGTGTCAAACGCTGGATAGTATTAAAATTCAATCAGGTCTTATACAATCAGGTCTTATACTATCAGACCTTATCCTATATTTGATCAGGTATTGTATAGTTCAGTTTGCATTTGCACACACCTCGATTAATTTACTTTTTCAATGCTATTAGAATCAGATCATTCACATTGAAACTAACAAAATCATGAAGACATTTATACACTCTAACCTTAAGCAATTAGCTGTAACCTGTAACAAACAAAATTTAGATAAGATCAGTTCCCCTTTTTCACATATGATTTGTCGTGTATTCCATGATGTTTTTATCCGAGGATTTCTTAAGAGTGGAAGTGATTATAAGAGACTTGTCTTTATATTTAATATGTGATGATAATTTTGTTTTTTTAAGGAAAAATTAAAATAATAAATTAACCAAATAAGTAATAATAATAATAAAAAATAGATAACATCAATTCCTCCCATGAAAGGAAAAAAAATTCTCTCGATTTAAGGAGGCAAGAAAGCAAAAAAAAATTCTCATTCTTTGTATAGGTGAGCAATATTGCAGGCTTTTAGCGCGTCTACAAATAGAGAAGGCTCAGAATTGGTTAAACTTCAGGCGTTTATTATCTTTTTTTATATGTTTATTTATTTTCGAATTTGACAAAAAACCTTACTTAAACTTGGGAATGCATATGGAAATCTGTCTTAGAGATTACGTATAATTAATGTAAAATGAAAATAACCGTTGTCTCATTCTTATTTGATTAAGAAAAAAAAAAAGTCACGACGACAAGAAAAAATATCTGTAATGCTGTATCACAATATCTACGTGCATCTGTTCAGCAACATATGAATGATTCTACCAACACTTATTACATATATTCAACTATTTTTATACCTTTTACGAAATGTGCATGTTGGTTACTTCAACAATCTGCTGACTTCTTGTAATATCAATGTTTCTCATTTACTTATTGTCTATTCTAACAAAACAGCCAACCAAAGCCATCATTAACATGAACTAATTGAAGAAATGACTTTAAATCTTTACGCACTGACCTCAAATCGATTTTGTTTGGGATTCAAAAATGAAGGAAATTGTTTTATTTACCAATAGTGGACAAATTAGAGCATTACCAAATCATGCGTCTATTGCCACAGCTAAAAATACAGGCATTTTAAGAATAAAGTCTTAACCATAGAATGCATTGGACTACAAAATCTAATTTTAACAGCTAGTCAAAAGTTCCAAAATAAAAAGCACCATGTAATCAAGGAAGGATCCTGCGTCTCCGGCGAGGAGTCTCTCGTTTCACATACATTTTCTCCATATCATTCAGGGGTCGGGTTGATCCATCAGGCATGCTAGCAAATTTCCAGCCCCCACCACCTCCACGCTTCCCCCGGTTTCCCAATTTCTCTACTGTAAAAGTCCATCCATCTGAAGGCCGTCGTCGACTATACCTGTGGCATTTCACCTCTCCAGCCATCTGTAAACAACCAAAACCACATTATTCAACAAGTTGCACAAACAATAATCTGACTCGTGGACAGAGAAGAGGCTGAGTATGGATATGAGGGGAGCTTTACAAGCATTATAGTTGTTAAAGTATGTATTAATACAGCAAACACCAAAAACCTACAAGAATAGAATAGGCCACAACCATAATGTGTGACATCCCCATCAATTTCTCAATACTTTGTTTGATGGATCTACAAGATACTTAAACTGTGCAACTTATAGTATGACGTGAGTCAAAAAATTTCAGGTTCAAAACGTTACTACGCTGTCTTGCTAAACTTGCATTATACGCCTTCTTACTCCTCCTTAACCAAAAACTTTTAAAGCTTTCCTTACAACTACAATTCACTCATTCTCTCAACTAATCATATACGACTATATCATATGCAAAAAGCATGCATTGAGGAACCAACTCTTTTCAGATAAGCCTAGAATGCATATCCAATACCAAGGTAATACTCCTATTTTTATAGGAAAGTTTTTGGTTACACCTCCATGAGTTCACACACTACACACACCGCCTGTTGCCCATCATATATATCCTTTATAGTTTGAATCTATGCAATACAAATGTATTTCTTCTTTAGAGCCTTCCATTGGATTTCTCATGGCACCCTTCAATAGGCTGTTATGGAATCAACAAAATTCATGGGCAGAACCTTTTCTTATCCCCTTAGGCATCTTTCCACCAATCCCTACTATAGGTATATAGCCTCCATGGTTGACCTACCTTGCATAAACCCAAATTTGTTCTATAATATGCAGGTTTCTTGTCTTAATACACTCTTTCCCATAGTTTCATTTCATGGCACTTGTAGTCCTCGATAGGTATACAAGTGCTTCTCCTTAACAATTTGCACAATTTTGTATGCCTTATTTTTTTTCTTGTAGATGATTATCAAAGTGTTTCTTCTCCATTACTCTTATATTTTCCCAGAGCTCGTTAAAAAAAAAAAAAAAAGGGAAGAAGGACTAAAGCTAAATTCCTTGGCAGACTGTTAAAAACACGTAAATGAAGGACCAAAAAGAAAATAAAATTGCAAAAGATAACTACATCAACATAATTCATGTTCCCCCAAACAATCTGGATGTTCTTTAAGGTCATTCAATATAGTTTTTTCAAGATGCTAAATGCATCACTAGGACATGTCATTATCCAATAAATCAACCGTGTCATCACCCTTCCACTCCACAATTTTCCCTTTCAATATAAAATTTACTAAAAAAATGACAATAGGGCACATTGTTTATCTAAGTAGTTATACAATTAAACTAAGTCTATTGGTATCCATACAACCATTAAAGTTTAATCCCCAAGATTTGTCCTATAATGTCATCTAGATAGCCAAGAAACAGTAGTTCTTCATAAGATAGTTTGATCAAATAAGTAACACTAAGCTTTGAATTACATAGACTGCATGCTAACTGATCAGTAGTCAGCATCAGGAGCGAATAGCATCGTTCTAGATGCAGAAGCAATACCAAAGGAAATATTTAGCAGGAGGGTTATTTATTGCAATTTCCAAATATTTTAATGAGTTTTTGTACCTTCTGATCATATGGGTATTGGGTAGTATTTTGAGGTCAGATTTATGTATTTAGGAGTTCTAGTGTCTTGTTATATACCAATATTGGATGCCATCCATAATTACAGACAACACAAGTCCCACCAATATATCATGCCAACCTATCCCCATAACCCAATTAATTTCTACAATGTGGATACCATATCCTTCTATAATTCCACAATCACACAGTAAGGTCAACATAAAGGACACAAGATATCTATAAAAATGTATGTTCATAATGCTTTCATTCACTTTATGGCAAAACATAGAATAGCGGCCAAGGGAACCTACTTTCTTTTTGTTGAAGTTCATCTTCTCAACAAATTCTCGATAAAGCATCTCATCCTCCTTTTTGGATATTTCATAATGAACTTCGTCTATATCTTTGGTAATGCCATCCCACCCCTCAGGCATAACCTTGAAGTCAGGTTTGTAAGGAAGGGATGCAACATGGAACTCCCTATCATTGGAAATAAAGAATCTGCAAGAAAAAATCATTACACCAAATAACAAATCAATTAAGTCTCCATCATTCTCCAACATTGACAATATTGCTTTAATGCATTGTTCTCTTCGTATTCCAAAATTACAGTTAATTCACAGCCATACTAATATCTGCAAAAAATAAACGCAACCAGAGTTCTGCTTCACACATAGGAGCCTGTTCATGAGCGGTTAAGATAAAAAAAAATATTCAACCCCAGCAAAACAACACAACAAACCAACACATGCTGCTAAACATAAACTACAAAAGAAAGCAAAGTTACAGAATTTGGCAAATCATCCCTTAACCTGATTAAAAGAAATGAAACGTCATTGGAGGAATACAATTCTCACCAACATATTTCAAGCAGCAATAAAGACTAACAAGTAAAATCAATCAAACAATTCACACAATTTAAGTTAAAACCAAAAAGAAAAAGAAAAAAAAGGAGCTTGAGCATGTAATTATGTGAATGATGAATTTAAATGTAACAAGAAAGAAATTAAAAGATAAACACTGACTCAGGAAAAGTGTCAAGCAAGAGTTCAACAGAATCATCAAGGGGGCGACCAAGCTTCTTCTCCTCTTCTTCCTCGAGTTCCTTGAGCCAGAGAATAGCATGAACCCTCTGTCTCATTACTCTATAATCCTTAGCGAGCTTCTCCACAGTGTAAACCTCAGGGTTTTGCTTATGCAATCGATACATCTCAGCTTTTTCAGAATCCTTCAGGTACGAGCCTCTTGCACCAGGTTCCTGAACCTGCTTCAGGAACACGCTTGTCTCCTCCATTCTCCCCTTCCACCCATCCGCGTACGCCCTGCTCTTTCGATTCTCCTCTTCGAATTCCCTCATCTTGTCCTCCATCTCTTGCAAATCCGAGAGAATCGTTGATTGCGAATGCGAACCATCGGTTTCGCCGTTGAAGTGGTCCTTCGTTAAGCCCGTGGACCACGTTGCGGGTTTTGGTATGTCCCAATCCATGTCGTCGACGCCGCCTCCTCCTCCGTCTTTGGTGGAGAAGATTCTCGAAGGTATCAACTGGCGGCGGTTTTCGTTTCGGAGTTCGGCGGCGACTCTTCTTGTGGCGGAGAAGAAACGGTTAAGGGTTTGCATTGTAACGGCCGTCGCTGTGGAGTGTCGGAGGCAGTCAGAAAGGGAAGTGAAGGGAAGGAAATGGTGTTAGAGCACCGTTTGGGAGAGAAATATTGTGGAATCAGAATCGAAATTACAACTTGGAATAGGGTTATTCATGTTTTTCTATTGTTTGGTTCAGATGTAATATTCTGCTTTTTTTATTATTAATTACTTAATAAAATTATTGAATTTAATTGGTTTAATATTTTTAATTTTTAATTCTTTAGTCTTTTCTAGTACACAATTATAAAATATTTTTCCTTTTAAATATGAGTGATAATTTTCAACATGATCTATTGATAGACACAAAAAAATTATATTCGAATTGATTCATTTTTAAATTTGTAACGTGTTTCGATTGATAAAACAGACAAAAGCTTACCAAAAACAAAAACTGACAAATTTTATTTTTGTCATACTATGTGTCAATACACAAATATAAAACTACTCTTATTTAATTATTTGTACGTGCCAACGCAACATATGAAAGCTATATTCATTATTAAGATTATTTGTATTTTATTACATTGTGTTTATATCCAAAAACCCCTATTCAAAACCTACCCTTCTCATCTCCTTAGACAATAAGGCAGCAACAATCGTCTCGAACAACAGTTTATTAACACCAGTACCAATTGACACAATGATGTGCTCCCAAGAGTTGGGCAGTGAACACAACAAGGTGCAAGCTTTGCCTTAGCAGGAACAGCTTATTCACGAGTGACTTGCTTTGATAGAGACCTCTCAGCTTCGTCCAGAGATCCTTCGCTATACTAGCCCTAACCTAATTAATTAGTAAATTACATGTAATTAAGTAATTAAGTGTGTATTAGTGGGTTGAAAGGAGTAAAATATATAATTAAATGAATTAGGGTCACTTTTGAGGTAAAAAAATACAGTCACTGAAAATTATGTGATAAAAATATGTATAGACAAAAGTACCCAAAGTGTAAAACTAAGGCTAAAAATATTACTAGAAAAATATTCTAGTCTATTGGGTAAAGTTTGGAAGTGAATAGAGTTAACTAGATAGATAAGTTTTTACCCGGTAAAAATAACTTAAACCATGTAAGTGTAAAAAAACACAAGACCTCCTTCATTTCCTTTCTTCTTCTTCGTGCAGCCACCATCGAGAGAAAGGGACATTGAACTCCAAAACCCAACTCATCCATTTCTCAACCAAATCTCTTGATTCTTGGATCAATCTTGCTTAAAATTGAGAGGCAAACACAATCCCTAGTCCATAATTTATCAAAGAGCCTTGTATTGAGAGAAAAATGGTGAAGAAGGTGGTGCCCTAACTTGAGGTTGGTGGACTTGGAGTGACCCATTGGTTGATTTAAAGCTTGGAATCTACTCCCTAAGTGATTCTAAGGTTAACCATGGTAAGAAATCTCATTTTCCTTGAGTTTTATTATGTTGGGTATGTTAAGGTTCCATCTCATGAATGTGCATGTATGGTGGGGTAGCCTAGAGGTTGTTTGAGGCTTAATTCCTTTATAAAAGTTGTTATAAATGTTAATTAAACGGTGAAAATAAACTTAGGTAGTCATTTGATTATTTCTCAATAAATTGGGAAATTCATGATTGAATTTGTGAATTTCTAGAATTTTGAGTATCTAGTGAATTTGATGATTGATTGTGTCTATTGTGGTGCTAGGATTGAGCCTTGTGGTCCAACATTGAAAGACCAACAATTGGAGGAAGCTATAGAGCTTGATTAGCCCATTTGGATTGGTGATTGTTTATAGGATTGTATTAATAATTGTAAAACTTGATTGTGCACATTGGTGGAGAACAAAGGTTGAGTTGGAAGCAAATTGAGGTAAGCCTTCGGACCTTGGGAATTGATCCATTTATTGTTGTTGGGTCAAAAGCTTATTGGGTGAAAAATATATTATGATGAAGAACGTTCTAGTTCAGTAAGAGAAAACACTTGTGTTCTCTCGACATCAACCCAAGTGCGCAAGTGCACGCATCAAGTAATAAAGGGACTATTAGTGCCCAGATTATCGTTCCCATGAGGATAGAACTCTAATTAATGCCTTAAACTATTTTAAGAAAAGAATGAAAATGAAATGAAAAGTTAGTAATTGACCTGTTTGGTCAAACGTTCCCTACTGTCTTGACAACGTTCCTCAAGAACAGTAGGTTCAATCTGACAATAAATAGTTTATTGCTTCGTTATGTATGATACCCTTCTTGTTGAGAGAAGGAACAACAATAATCATGAGAGATTTATAGATACAAGATTGAATAAAGAGAAAAATAACAATAGTAATAACAGTAATTAAGAGACAACAGTGTGGAGGGTTTAAAACAGTTTTACACAAGGAACGAATTCACTGTTCTATTCTTAAATAGTTATTTTCTCTACTCAAGACTTAACACTTTTGTTTTTGTTCCAGTCTCTTCACTGCCAACTATGATTCCTCAGCTCATGGACTAAATGTCTCACAAGTTTTCATATTCCTATGGCTCCCTTGACTCCAACAGTTACTTAGCACAGGACCTTCAAATGAACGAGGTGGTCCCTTATTCCTAAGGCAACCAACAGTGTTGTTTCCACAACACTGCCTTCTCCCTCTGGTTAAGTTGTCTGAAATCTCTTCCTTATGGAAGTTCCTTTCTCAATATGTGTTCAATTTCCATTGATACACAATGAATATAGCTTACTTAACCATAGAAATACAAAAGCTCAGTACAAAAGTTTTACAAATTATTCTTTAAGAACTTTGCAGCTTTTCCGTTCCACAGATAGTTTAGCCCATTGCTACTACTTTAAACATAATTATTCTAAACTGAAATCCCATAGACCCGAGATAGATTCAGTTCAGAGATAACGAGTGAAAAGGAGAGAAAGAACACTTATATTTAACTGGAAACAAATTAGGTTACAATAAAATAGAAAGTGGAGAATATGGTTGCTGCTCGTGAGGAGTTTCAAGTGGGTGATACAGAATAGAGAAAAAGTGTTGTCACTTAACTACAGCTAAAACTATACAAAATAAACTAAGTGATCTCTTCTTAAGGAATTCGATTATGTTCTTCGTGTTGGGACGTCCTATTTATAGGCAGAAGAGCGGATGGCAAAGTGTGTAATTCCCTTGGAGTTGTTTTCCTGATTGCATGAACGGGGCGGTGTGAATAGTGCTTTGAGGGGCGCAAGTGGCTGGATAGGACAATTATTGTTGAGATTTGTCTTTCCTTCTGATCTCCCACATGCTTTGATTTCCTCTTTAGCCAATAGGAACTGTTTATTCCCTGCTGCGCACATTTCTTCGTGCTTGATTGTTGTACCGCTTATGCTTTATGGAACTTTCTTTTCAACGTTTCCTGCAAAGTGGTCAGAGAGATTGAGTGAGTGGAGTAGGTGTATTTAATGATCCCAATCCGTTCCCCTTTTTATATATTTTCCAAAGGATTACGTCACCATCTGTTCCCCACTGTGTTTTTGTCATAAAGATATTAAACATGTGCTTTTAGTGCTAAAGTTGCTCATCGGATGAGGGAACGAATGGTATTTTGCCATCAAAATAGGCTTAGATGGGAATGAATTTTCGTCCCATCAATTGTTCCACCAAGCCCAGAATGGGTAGTAGTTGTTGATAGCGTATGTAAATGCAATAAAATAGTTTAATGCTTTGTTATACGTATGTGTATGCATTTGGTGTGGCATATGATGGTGTTTCCCTATATTTTGTATGTTGCATGACGATGCGTAATTTATACTTGGTAGTTTAGCTAGCCAGTAAGACTATTTGCATCTGAGTATCCGTAGGACAACATGAGAGCTCGAGGGATGTCTCCTGGAAATGTTTGTTACACACTGCATGGGTACATATTTATTGCATTATTTATGGTTATTGCTATTACACTGTGAGTGAACTATGGGGTGGAGAAATGCTCCAAGGACCCCTGGTTTACTGTGATATATTCGTATATCTCACCCCGTGTTGTGGGGACTCCCTTTTCAGGTACAGATATTGCAGGAGCCTCTGGTGACAAGTAGCCATATTTGAACTAGATGTCATATGTTGATAGCCTGATGTTTTGGATGTATATGTATATTTTGAGGTCACATGATGTATTGTGGAGGACTTAGTGCATGATCATTGTGGTGGTGAATGCCTTGTTATATATGGCTAATAGCTTTGATCATGTCTCTTTTGTATCTAAGTCCTTTGGCATGTAATTATCTTGAAGAATATTGTTGTAAATGATCCTTTGTAACATTGATTGAATGTGAAGCATGTTTTCTCATTTTGGTTTGAATGATAAATTGATGAATATGGTGGGATATGAGTGCCACAATATGTGTTGAATCATTGTTGGTCATGTCTAGTTTATTAGGTATCTAATTTACCAAATGCTCCGTCAAGTTAGGTGCAATTATGCAGATTGAACTTGTTTTTCTCTGTCGGAGCGCGCTTAAGCGCTCTTGGTGGCCTAAAAGCAGTGTTTTAAAACTCGAACCGGTCATCGACTCGGTCAAGGTAATAGGTCACTGGTTCAACCGGGTCCGACCGGGTTCAACCGAATACACTGTTCCCATATTAAAAAAATATAAATTTATTACTTATATTAAAAATTCATAGAAGAAAACTATCAATAATGGCCTTTAAAAAAGGGGGGAAGGGGAAGGAAGCAAGTAAAAAGTTGCAAATGAATACTTGATATATGTCCAAACACTACAGTAAATCAAACACACACACAAAAAATGCAAAACATAAAATCCAACTCTGGTTTGAACTACACGAAAACATAAAACCAAAAGCTTGGCATGAGTATAACATAAAGTTATAAACAAACACAAAGGCTCTTCTAGTCTTTCACAATCTGATGAAACTTATAAGCCAACAATACACAATCTGATAAAAATACTATACCCATGGTGGTAAAGTTGTATCAATAAATTCAGGCTCTCCTAGACCTTCTCCACCAATCTCATCCAAACATTGACCAACATTGCTTTCATTTTGGTTTGCAATAGTCATGTCATGTGCATCATCATCGTCATCCTCATCTAAATTCAATGGATATACAATAATATCACATTTTATGTAACTTAG